CTTGTACTAGCGTTCCTATGGCCCGCGCCGTTTGCTGTGTCGGTTTGTGGGCATAAACGCTCTCTCGCTCTCTGTCTCCCGCGGCCTGTCTCTCTCTCACTCACTCTCTCCCTCCCTGAGCGCATTTCCGAACTCGCTGCTCACCAAGTATGCTACCCGCGGTGGTTGCGCGGTGCGTCGTCTGCTGGCCCATCCCCCCACCTCCCCCCGGGCGGGCCTAAGCAGGCACAAGCCGCTGACGGCGGGGCGGGGCGGGGTAGGGTAGGGTGGGGCGCGGCGGGGCCCGGCGCGGCGGCCCGGCTCCCAGCCGGTCGAGTTGTACGTTCGCTGTCTCCGCGCTCGCCTCGCATACGCCTCGCGCCTCCGCTACGCTCCGCTCGGCCCCGCTCGGCTTCGCTCGGCGCCGCCTGTCCTGTGCGCCATCTCTCATGTGAGGGCCGCTCCTCCCCGCGAGTATCCTGCGCGTCGTCCTGGAGGTGCTGCAGGAGTAGGCCGACGAGACCCTCAGCCAGCCGCGACACTCAAGCGTACCCCAAGCCCACACGCACGCACACACACTCGCGCGCGCGGGAGCGCGACTCTGCGTCAGCATGGTGGAGACGGAGTACATGGACCCGGACTCGGGCTACTTCTCCACGAGCATAGGCCTCGGGACGGACTGCATCCTGCTGGACCTGTCGATGGGTGAGTACGCGTGGGCTGGAGTGGACTGAGGGTGTCTCCGCACCCCCGTCGTTTGCTCCCCGGTAGTCTATTTCTTACTTGTTATACTGCCCTGTATTTTGTTTTGCTTTTGTTGTACCGCATGCACGCGTGCTGGCGGGTTTGCCTATGCTCGCTGGCCACGGCTCCCTACGGCCCCGTGCGAGTAGGCAACCCGCCAGCACGCGTGCGCGGCGTAAATCAGCCACCTGGTAGAACGTCGTTCGACACACACACACTTTCATGCTCTGCCTCTATGCGTTTCCGTCTGTCTTTGTTAAAGAGAGAGGAGAGGGAGTTATCACACCCCTTTAGAGACCTTAACGCGCGTGGGGGATGGTTTCTGATGCGCTTTTTTGAGCATCTCGGTTTTCTATTTATTTCAAGAAGCTCTTGTTGAAGGAGTGGTTGCATATTCGCCCACAAAATCCAAGTCATCTTGAGTGTCATTTTCACGTGAAAAATTTGGCGTCAGCTGACATTCAAGTTAGCTTAAATGTCATGCCTTTGCTCACATTGTTTCTATAGCCAGGAGTCACTTTAAAATTTTCTGATATTTCATTCTTGTTTTGCCACACATACTTTTGGATTGTTGTTTTAAGTATTGATAGTTTCGGCCGGCGTCCTCTCCATTCTGTGTTATTTTTTCTCGCGACCCGTGTCCACTGTAGAAAACTGTCTGCCCGGACATCTTACATCCTCTCTAAAAGGCTCGCTCGTTGTACAGGATCACCGCATCAAGAGACATGAATGCCTCCCAAACGGCAGAATAACTTGTTATTAATATGTGACGACTATTTTTACTCCATGACCATGCCATGTTATTGAGACAGTCTCAGTCGTTTTTTCTGTACAGCCATGCTGTAGAATCACCAATCTGCATATGCGCTCGCTCTGGGCTGTGTCTTCCAGTTTCCCTGTTGTACTTATGTGAGATGTGTTGGTTTCCCTGTCGCATCGTCTCTCCCCAGTCGTCCGTCCTGTTTTCCAGATTCACAGTGTCTCCCCTGCACGCGCTCCTTTTGCGCTGAGGTTGTGGGCGCCGCGCCTCTGTTTGGAGGTAATCGCCGTTGTGGGATTGTTTGACTTGAGAACGGCAGAGCGGGAGACAGAGTGTGCCAGGGAGATGGTTGTGCAAGACAGGTGGTGTCTTGCCTGCTCTGGTTTCCTTCTTCCCACTTGCTCGCTCAAGAAGGGTTATATTTTCAAGTTCGAACCCACTGCTGAGGCAGACGCGCACCCCTATACAAATCTATATTCGATACATCGATGCATGAGACTGACACTATCCGCCATGCCGCGTCGCGCATGCCCCACCGCTTGTCGCGCCCCTAGTGCATTCACCCGTATCGCTTCCTTGTGCATTTTCTCTCTCTTTCTCCCCCCCCCCCTCTCTCTCT